AATCACGACACTCCTCCTCCTCCTCCTCATCGTCGGCTTCTTCCTCTTCTTCTAGTATTACCGAGTCTAGGAGAATTCAGCTAAATCCAACGGGAGAAAAACCCGAAGTACTCACCACAACGTATACGCACAATTCTTCTGGAACTAGCTCAATCGATAGCAGTAACTTATCTAATAATCGCGGCGGTGTTGTTTTTCACACGGAATCAAGCGGTAATTACGGTTCCACAACTTTAGGCGGAGGGTTCCGTGAATCTGAAGAAGAATCTTTTGGTTCGAGATTGCCCGATCTCGAACAATCCTATGGAACACGTACGAACCAATCTGTTAGGGTAGAAAGTCGTTGGAAAGAGAGCGGTGAAGCGCCAGGACATACGATCTCACCTCCAGGAAGATACGATTCAATTATGACAGAAAGCGAGAAGAGATACCAGGAACTATTGAAACAGCAGGAGGACACTCGTCTGCGTCAGGAGGAGGAGACCCGACAGAGGAAACTTCAGGAAGAAACTCGTCTGCGACAGGAGGAGGAGACTCGACAGAGGAAGGTGCAAGAGGAGCAAGAACGTAACTTTGCCCTACAACGTCATCGAGAAGAGTTAGAGCGACGTCGGCAGGAAGAGGAACGAAAAGAGGAATGGCGAAGAGAAGAAGAAGAACGGCGAAGACAACAAGAGGAAAGACGCCTGCAGGAAGAGAGAGAACATAGCTATGACGCGGAAAGACGCTACGGAGCGACCACGGGTGGTCACCATCCATCTACGGAAGATGATTTTATCACTGGCGACCGCGAAGAGACAATCGGAAGTCGAGAATTTGATTTGCACAATGTCAGCTCCACGCAAGAATTGAACCGAATATTTGGCACATTGTCGAAGGATGCAGCTGGTTACCAAGTATATAATAGACAGGGACAACAATATGTACAGTTCAAGGCAAGATTCAGAACATCTGCTGACAGGAAGGAGTATATAGAGTTCCAGGACGGTTCTATGTTTCCTCTTCAAGATCGTTATGGTAGTCAAAGCTACATCTCGGAATCCACGGAACCTCGCGACAGTCGATTCCTCAGAATAGAAGGTCAGCTATTTATTGCTCCGGATAGTAAAGGTTACATCGTATTGAAAGATGGCCGAAGATTTCCTCTTCAGGGTTCTTTCATGCACACAGAGGAAAGAACGTACACTTTACGTGGTTCGCACGATGATCATTTAGGTGGCAATGCTGATAATCAAAGTCAGGGAACTTACAGTCAATCTTGGCATGAGGAATCATCCAGTGCAACTTCGGACGGGGGTTACGAAAGCAGATATAATACTCGTACGCATGAAGAGAAACGGACGGAAGAGAGAACGAGCAATACCCGAGTCTACGGAAGAAACCGTGACCGGTTTAACGATGAGTTTCCCACTGACAGACCTGATTTTCCAAGCTCGCGATATAGACGCGAGAGCGACATGATCGATATCGAGGAGTTCAAGAAATTCGAGTGGCTTCACAGAAATCGACGAGACCTCGACGAGACGGACGATCCGTCAGATGCAACTACGTTCCAAGATGACGATTATTACCAGGAAAACGATCCCGAGTTACAGACACCAGTACGGCCGTGCGATTCAGCAAAGTGCGTTATGTTGCGATGCGTGCTAGGTCCATTGAAGAAAGATCAAGAAGTATGGATCAGTGCGAGGTATCGCGTGGATGCTAGGACTTTGAAGGAAGTAGCTCTTGAAGAGAAAGTGAAAGTGTCAACAAAGTTGGTGGCACGTGTCACGAAGCAACCATTCATCGGTACGCCTGCTGAACAGGTCATTAGGAGCGACGAATTTATGACGAATATCGAACCTAGCGCGGCGCCTTCTGCTCCGGATATGATTCCAATATGGGTGGTAGTTCTGTCGGCCTGCGCGGGAATGATTATCCTCTTGCTACTCATTTATTTGCTTTATAAGGTGAGTCTAAAGACGAATGTAATGTAGAAAAGTTACAAATTATATAACGTTTTCCCAAATGTTTTGCAACGAAAAAGAACTGCGAATGATTAAATAATAATATGAAAAAGCGGTTTCAGTAGATTTAGTTGAAACTGTGATATTTTGTAGATTGTGAAACGCCGATCAAAAGTTTCCTTAAGCAAAACCATAAAAAATGGACTTGAGATTTTGCTCTAAACGTCATTTTAAAATGACTATTTTGAAATCAAACTGAAAAATATTTTTATCTAAATACTGAACTGTTTTTTGGTAATTGTACTTTGTACTTTTATGCACAGGATAATGAAACGAATTAACACAAAAAGAAAGAAAACACAAAGTTTGCAAGTATGCATATTGCAAATTGTATATTTTTTAAACAACTATGTGTGTTTTCTTTACATCAGTCGATTCGTTTCATTATTATGCAAAAAAAATATTAAAATACAATTGCCAAAAAATGAATAATTTATTAGATAAAGATATTTTTTAGCTCATTTAGATAAAAAAATAGCAACTTTTAAATACCTATTTTTTATGGTTTTGCCTAAAAAAATTTTTGATCAGAATAATCTGCAAAATGTCACAGTTTCAATTCAACTGAAATCACTTTTTCACACATGTGATTAGTGCAGAGTCCTTTGTTTGATTCATTATATAGATTGATTCGTGTCTTTGATATTGATTGAGATCGAGATGGGTTAATGATAACCAAATTCACCTTATTTATCACTTACAGTGCGGTTTCTTCAAGAGGAACAGACCTTCCGACGCTCCAGAGAGACAACCGTTAAATCGAAATGGCCACTTCCAACAAGGCGAGGATCACTAAAGGAAGACTACTACTCTATTAAAAGTTTCGATTTTCTGCCTATACTATAAATTGAATCGTAAACGAGTTAAAATTTTGACTACGTAGTGGAACCATGAAAAACGCCTTAGTTCGAATAATCGAGGGAACACGTGTTGCATGGATTTGCTTGGTGTTGTCTGCGAACATAGTTTCGACTTTTACCGAATATCTCGTTAGCGTTCAACAGTGCCTTAATCCGCGTCTAGGCAAGACGAGATTTATCAAAGTACGCAGAAACGTTGGTTTTGGATGAGTGACGATTGATTCGTCACTCGTATACTGCCGTCGAATACTCCTTCCAGCTCCTGCAGCTCGACCACGCAAGTTTCTAGTCAGGAGACGTTCTTCTTTTTTTTTATTATTATTACTTGTAATTACTTAAGCCGAGCGTACAGTCGGCAGATACGAACGAATATTTCAACATTCTTCGACGAATCGTATCTTTATGTATATAAGTAATATATGTATAATGTTATTTTTTGTATACCGTTATTCACGGTAAAACGCCTTGATACGTGCCTCGTCGCTTCCGCTGTCTTTTTAGATATAATACGATAGAGTACAAGTAATTATTTTTTTATCCGCGTTTAGTTGGCACGAACTTTAAAATGATTTCATATCTCGCCGGTGATTAGGATTTAGCGGAATGTATTCAGTATCGAAAACATCATCCATAATCTCTCCTTTAAGGCCCCTTTCACACAAGTAATTGTATAGCCGGATATTGTGTCTTACATTTTATTGAACACATCGTAGAAAATTCTTCAGTCTTTTACATGTTTTTTGCAATTTCGTACTTTTAGATAATGTTTTATTAGCAATATATCAAATTTAGACCCATGTGAAAGGGATCTAATCTCCCTGAAGAGCGAATTTTAAGTCGCGTGGGGCTTTATAATTATTTATTAAATTTTTATATTATATACATAATACTGTAACGTATGCTTGAGCGCTGTAACAATAGCGTGATGCATTGTCACGCGTACAAGGTGAATGTGTGTGTACAATCTGTAAATTATTAATTTACGTTACTAAAACTGTCCACGAAAAGTGGTTTAACGCAATAATATTTTAATTAGGAAGGATTCATATCTTTCTAGTATAATAGAAAGCTAGAACTGATTTGTACATATAACGTTAAGATATAATATTAAAAAAAAAAAAAAATATATATATATATATACATATAATGAAATTAACTATTTTGCGCATATTGCTAATTTCTCCCCCAATAAGTCTGTGGTGATCGTAACAAAGAGACTCTGAACAAATTCTTTGGCACGAAGAATAGACACGTGTGATTCTCTTTATCACGATCATAGTATAATGGTCAGTCTCAGTGCTGTTGTCTATTATATATGATAAGAATAACGAGGAAAAGAAAAATATTGTAGCATTAATATGAAAATTGCACCAAATATATATATATATATATATATATATATATATATATATATATAGAGAGAGAGAGAGAGAGAGAGAGAGAGAGAGAGAGAAATCAGATTTTTATTCGATCACTACCTCTCGGTAATAGCAAATCACCGAAAATATTTTTATCATGCCACTCGAAATTAGTTAACTGTATCATATATTTGTAGATACATACTTAAAAAGTCACTACGTTTTTGATAAAAGATACTTTGAACTAATTGGAAGACGAAACGCATGCACGTTGCTTGTCGATCGTTCGTAATAATTTGGTGTAATTTGTATCAAAGCTATAATATTTTCCTCGTTATTCTCATCGTCACATGTAATAGACAGCACCGAGACCATACTGTATTTTTTGCATATTACAAAGATCTCTGTATTTCTACTTTTCACATAATACTTTTCACAAATAAGTTTCGTCTTCCGTGTTCAAAAAGAAAAATTACATTGGATGAATTTGTACAATCATTTATTGTAAAATTACAATGACGTAACAGCGTTGGCATAAAACATATATTTGTTTAACGGTCAATGTATATACTGTGACTGTGCTATTTACTGATCGCACTAACCGCATTGAAACCAATATATAAGTTATATCATAAAAATTATAAGAAAATTCTTCCGAATATAAAAAAATATATTAATCTCGAGTTTTTTTTTTAATATTTTGGACAGTATCCTTCATATTCTTTTATTGGTAAAATGTATATAAAAATAATTTATAATGCACACAGTTGTGTGTCAGTTTGTAAAATATATTACCACATTTTCGTGAATAGATTTTTTTTCGCATTTTAAGAGCTTTCCATGCAAATGGATTAGTTTGACAATCAGTTTGAAAAACGACATTGAATAACAGTTATTTGCAGTCGTGACTGCAAATGTGACTGGTATTTGCGCAAATGTGAAGGCGACTGTGTGTGATTGAGGAAACTAAAATCCATGAAATATTTATAAAAAAATTCGCATCTGAAATTCGGCTTTGCAAAATCGTACAAAAGTTGCTCCACTAAAAAAATACGTTGTATAAAAGAAAACTGTGAGCTATTATATACTTAAAAATACATAATTCAATTATTGCTATTACGCTATAACTATTTACGACTATATTGACAATTGTTTGATGGATCGAGACGGAATATGTTCACTTTGGGATACAAATGGATATGAATGAAAATTAGACTGACAAGGAGATGGCACGGAATCAAATGAGATATTATCGTTTATTCGAAAGGAGGATTAAGGGGCTGATTCTGTTACTCTTAATCGTTGATGTCGTTGCGCGTAAATGTACTAATAATCAAATCAGCAGACAATATTTTTAAAACGGTTTTTAAATATTTATTTAACGTAAAAATAATAATTTAATAAATATTTAAAAATATTTTTTTAATATTGTGCTGATTAAGAATGTAAAGGGATTAGAAAATGAGCCTTAGTTTCTGAGAATTGCAGTTAAAGTTGGGATCTGATGAGCTATATGTTAAGTATTAGAACCCTGCATGATAAACAGGAAAGCTGACAGCGCTGAGACGCACGCATATTATATTTTTTGGTCCATGACCATCGCGACCGACGAAGTGCAAATGTATCAAGAGTACCAACTTTTTTAAAAATATATTTAGATAATATATATTTTACAATTTAATAAATTTTTGTTAGTCTTTTAAGTACACAGACATCACACAAAATTCATATGTGGGTATATATATATATATATATATATTAGTAATTTCGGCCACACTGCTTTCTTGTTTGTCAACCTAAAGAATCTCTCTTAACTTACAATTAATCGGATTCCCAACTTCAGTTGCAGTTTCCTCAGAATTTTTTTTTACATTTTTGATACACTCAATCTGCCCTTTCGAATAAATTATAATTATTTAGTATCATTTTGTTTTACATTTTACATTTCGCATTTCGATCATACCATCTCCTTGTGAATATTATATTCGGGCAGTGCGAGATCGTTACTGCTCTTCAAAACGCCAATATGTTATCAGACAATATATACAAATTCGTATTATGCTTAATTTCTATTTAAAATCATGATTAACAATTTTCTCATTCAATTCTTTCAATGGGCTATTCACGAACAATTAGCTCTACCAGTGTTAAAAAATATGTTGATTTGACGTATTATCATTGAATAAAATGTATATGTATACATTTTCGATATATAGATGCAACAATGATCTAATACATGCAACAATGAGCGAAATTAACGCCTAAATGAATATCAATGTTTTCCAATCTGTAATTCTTTTAACTTCATGATGATGTTGCGAAATAAAATCTTCAAAAATTCCGTCTAATAATATTACGTGTGCGTTGAATAAATCTGTTTTCTGTGAATGATGAATAGGCAAATCCATGATTAACATTGGATTATACGATACTGCGACGAACGCAAATAACGCTTATTGAATACTTTTTGAACAATGATAATGAATATCCATATCGTCTAATCGTCATTATCGCTATTGATTTCATTATCTATATCATTGTATATATCCTCATATCAGCTATCAGGAACCTAAAATCAAATAATGGTTAAAGAAATAAATTTAACGAGACTTATAAGCCGGTATTCATAGTCAGTTTTTATATTCAAGACCGTTTTAAGTTCTGTCTTGAGGTATCATCATGAATCAATCAGAGAGCTGCATTAGCATTTTAAGATGGCCTTGAAATACGAACTGACTATAAATACCGGCCATAGACATGACATTTAATAATGTAAAATGTAAGAATTTTTATTCTTACTTTCCATTGTAATTGGCTGCCCACTTCGTAAAGTTCTTTCAATGTTTCTGTCAATGTGCCAAAACTTTCTAGTTCTTTGTACTTGCGATACAATTCTAAAGCTGCTCGCGCATCTTCGGTTGAATCGTGAGTTTCAGACTGAATGTTTTTACCCAAAAAGTGCCAGGTCAAGAAACGTAACGACACCATACGATGATGAGGTAAGTGAAACAACAAAACTGTATCTACTATTTGTTCCGGCGGCACTACCAAATTTATTACCCTGCAAAGTTCACACATTAAAAAAAAATATTACCGACCATCATCGTAGATATCAAGTAGTATTTTACCTAAAATCGTTTTTCAGGCCATGCCCAACAAAAATTATACCATTGTCCACTAAGAACCTCAACTTTTGATACGTCGATTTCAAAGTTGTGAGATGTTTACTACTAAAATTCGCATCTAAATCACCCGGTTGGATTCCACTAAATTTTGTTAGATAGTCGACCACCTGTTCCTGAGTGCTTATATAATCGTCTATAAACGGTGTACCCTCCAAAGGACCTTGTCTACTAAAAATAAGAAAATACTATATATAGATTTAAAATAACTCGAATATTAAGCATTTTTTATTTAATCAAATTAAAATCTCTCAATTTATGAAGCATTATTGTTTACATAACAGTTCATAAAACATACCCGCGGATACATGTGATTCGCGCGACCGACATATGGCTCGGTTTTATAGTTGACATCTTTCCATCGCTTCGTAGTTCAGATTCTTCCTGATTTAAGGTAACGAATTCTGCATCGATGCCTACCAACTCTCCTGCAATTACAATAATTTGAGCATACTAAAAAGGATATAGGACGAGCCACATTAAAAGTATACAATAATTTTCTTTCTTCCTTTCTATTTCATATAAAGAGCGAAAATACAAAGAGATTATTATGACAGAGAAATCTACCTTTCTTAGGCATTTCATCTGATGCTAAAGGAGTAAATGTAATTCCTCTAGTTCCACCACTGCGAGCAATACATTTATCTTCTCCAAAAACATCATATGTAAGAGGACTGACAAACTGTGTTGGCTCAGGAGCAGGTATCGCTGTATAATGGAGTACACACGGCACTTTCCAATCGAGATTAAACCATACCGCTTCCTGAGGAGTCACTGGTTGTATACTATAACAAGTATCACGTCGATAATAAATGATGTTAAAGTGTGGACAACTTTCTTTCCTAGACGGAAACAACTTACCAGAAATCATTAAAAATATACCATTGCGATACGGCATTGCCTGCCGATCGTTCATGATAATTTGGTCCAACTCGTAATAGTGCTACAATATTTCTCCGTTCCTCGTTATTTTTATCGTCAATATAACAGACAACAGCACTGAGACCATACTGTATCCTTTGAGTATTATAAGAGATCTCCAGATTTGTACTTTTTACAGCTTCGTCATCTTCTGTTATATTACAATTTCCAATCTTCGATGCTAAACAATTTTCAATATTTTCCTCACCGTTATTTTCAGAGTTTTCAGAAATAACTTGTACTGTTCTGTCATCTTGACCGTTCTCCATCATGCTTGTCTGTATGAACATATCATTCAACTCGCTTCTTGGTTCGCTGATTTTTTTAACTGTCATTTCTCCGTTTTCTTCAATGGAGATTTCTATGTTGTGGGGTATCCATGAATGCAAGTAATATAAATGACTAGGAGGCGATGTAACGGTCGCTGTCGATGAGGTAGATGGTGTGGAGGACGACGTTAATAATTTTTCTGTTTCTGCACAGTAAAATATGGTTAGCATTAATTCAAAGCAACGTGTTTAATCTCTACATCAAAATATTTATGTACCTGAGTCGCGTCCAATGTGCCTGAATCGACATCCAGTTCGCGTGCAATTATTGCCATATCGACAGGGCTTCGCAGTAACAGGCACAGGACTCGAGTTGGGACTGCTCTCTTTTCCCGTCAACACGTTTTGCACTACGATGTCCATTTGATTTTGCCAAAACGCTTTGTCCTGTAATAATTCGTTCTCATAAAATGAATGAAGCGTAGTATGCGATTTTCGTTCTTTGATTCTGCACACGCTACAATTGTACATCTAATCTGATGTCGTAAGTACCTGCTGAGTATCTAAGCCACAATTTAGAGCCAGTATTTGAGGTAGTTTAGTCAATTGTCGAGACTGGAGAGTAGGTGTAAATTTCTGACAATTGTCACACCATGCGGGTGTAATTTTCTCAGGTCTTAAACTGCGGGCAAGAACATTTGTGAACGGTACCTCTTCAGCTACAAAAGGTAAATCTTGTGTTCAGCCGCGAGTATGGATGTGCGCATTAAGCTAAGGTTGCACAAAAAATCAAATGAGCGTGTAGGATATTGAAAATTATTTTTTGAACGTTGTATCACAATCTTTATGGAATTTTGTGGATATTTGAAAAAATGTAAAAATTTATCTATAAATATATATCATATTATTAGACTACACTTATCTTATATCTATTTGCTTTAAAATATTCGAATGATTGAATATATACAGCAAAAGTTTTCAATTTACACGCTAAACTCAGACTTTCTGTCCAGCCAAAGCATTGGACACATATTGCTTGACAATAGCTTACAAGGATTAATTATTTCCGGGTAAACTAAGTTACAAAGTAACATGATAGAATGTTTTGTAGCTTCTTGCCCACATTTGAGACAACGATGTATGTGCATTTGTTCAGATCCAAATAGACGACTGATCTCTGTTTCATCATCTCGCACTTCATTGTCTTCGGCGGATTTTTTGGTGGTCTTGTCTACTCGTAATAATGCATTTAAAGATAAAATAAATGAATATTATTAACGATATCATTAGAATTGAGTATAAATATTTTCACTAAAAAAATATGTGTAACGATTTTATAACAGTAGCGTGATACATATGCGTTTGTAATTTCGTATGTTTTGTAATAATTTTAATGTTTCGGTTTATTTATTTAGTTCAAAATATTATGTCAAACTTAGAAAGTTCGACATAATCTCCCTCTTGATTTTTTAACTAAACAATGCAAACTAGATATTGTTAAGATAATTTTGGTTATTTTTTAAAATATAATTAGATAATTTAAGATCTCAGTGTTACATATTATCATACGAGTATATTGATACTTTTAACGCATCGATATTAATCACATATTTTTTAAATCGCAATATTTTTTAATAATTATATATATGTATAATTATTATTTTAATAAAATTATAGAATTAAAAAAATATGTGATTAATATCGATATATATACACACATATAAGTATGAAGGCAAAATCATGCAATTTTTGGAAAATAAGGATAAAAGGGGCTAGCTGCTCTTCTCTCTCTCTCTTATTACAAAAACATATACATAATATATATAGAAAAAAAAGCGATTTAAGGAATAACAAGCAGCAACGCCATAACTTATTGGTTTAATATGAGATCAATAAAGATACATTCTAAACAAATATATGCGTCGGCGTAATTAAAAAAGTTACAGTGAGATATCCTAAGAATGCAAGATTATAATAAAATTGGAAGGTGGCTTATTAAAATGAATGTAATGTTTCAGCACCGTTATAAAAAATTATGATTACAATTATACATTAATCATATAGTTCTCAGTCGTTTCTTGCTCTTCGGATATATCAACTTAACTAAAGCAAATAAAAAATCAAATAAATCACATACAAATTGAAAAATAAACACAAAAGTGCCCAGTGCAAAGGTTACACATAAATTGTGTTTACCTTTCGATGTGATCCACATATATTTACCATCCTCCTCTTGCTTCCTCTTTTTTTTTCTCTCATCATCGTGACTCCTATATCGAGAACCGAGGTCCTCAAGGATGCTAGGAAAATCCTGTTCGTTATAAACAAATGGAGGATATTTGGAATCTGATTTAAGTCGCGCTGCTTCCTCTTCTTTTTGTTGTCGCTTCCTGGTTTCCAGAATCTCGTAGTGTATTTGATGTAGAATAAATCTATTCCAGCTCTAATACAAAATTCAAACCATAAATAATCTTTCTGTCAATATATTAAATTTATAAATATGTCATGCGATTTTTAATGCAATTTTTAATAGAGATTTAAACATTTGGTAAAAGAGCATTTCCGAAATATAAATTTATAAACATTTATACGAAATAAAGTTGTAAAAAAGTCTGTTTTCTTTCATTTCAAATAAACGTACATTTGGAACATTCGTTCTAACGCAAGTTATTAAATATAATTTTTACGTTGGACGTTATAACTTATTGTATTTGTTTATTATCATACTTGTATGAGCACTATCAGATTGATCTTTTTCTTCGATTCTGGATCATTCAGTATAAGTCCTAATGCTGACGCTTCCCGTACTGTCCTAAAAGCCCTAAGAAAATTTGCAGCTTGGCAGGGAAATCCTGGTGATGTATCCAGCATGTGAAATAAGAATCCCAATTCGCAAGAAAGACAAAACTCTCGTTGGCACGAATGTGAGAGCAATGCTACCCTTACAGGTTCGCAGTAGTAAAGCAACTACAAAGCACGAACGTGTGTCTGATCTGTGATTTACTTTATTCATTGTCCCGACTCACCTCGGACACTACAGTTTTCTTGGGCTTACCTGCAGCATAGCATTGCAATAACTGTTAGGAAGTGTAGCCTCCAGACCGCAAAAGCTGGTTCGATTGTACTGATCAAAATCGAAATCATCGTAACCAAGCCGTGAGTATTTCAACTCAATTTTACGATAACGCTTAGGTATGGCTACAAAGGTGCCGTCATCTGTTTTAGACCGTGAGTCCCCCACGAAAAGCTTCGCGACTAAGCCACGTCGTGAAGACGTACCCGTTTCCAGATTGTACGGTATCTGCAAAAGAGGTATTATTTATTTTTATTCCACTGTGAAAACGTGTATCGGATATTTTTCGCCAAGATAGTTTCTATCTTATGGAATTTGCCATGCGTTACACGTGAGATATCGAGATAGTTTGTACAGTTTGGTGCATGATAGAGAGTAGACTTTTGGATTGTGAAAAAATAAATAATACCTATATATTAAAGAACGCGTTGTGGGAACTGAACCGATAATACGGCGCATCATATTAAAGTTACGCATACTGTTGTATATCATACAACCTTTATTATTTCACTCAAATACAATTTCGAGTATACATTTTATGCGGAACATATTTTACATGTAAATATATTAATCGCCTATCGAGATTGTTCATCGGAAATCATTAAACGAAAAGACAAAATGCAATCAATCATAAACACATTGCGCGAATTGAGAGAACGAAGGCAGTAAAATATCATACTGATAAGAGTGATCGATAAGCTATAAGAGAATTGTGGATACTTTTGGCGGAAGGTATATTAGAAACATTTATTCATGTTTTTTCTTCTTTATGTCGATCGTTCTGTAAATGTCATCACAAATAACTATAAAGAAAATTAAGACTTATACTATTGATATATTTCAATGCACACGTTTTTCCTTACACTACTGTATTTTTTCTGCAATGCAAAAAAATTAATAAGGCCTCAACTTCGCTGATCATAATTAAATTGAAGAGCCCAATTTTTAATTGAGTAACATGCTTTATTAGCAGTTCTTAAAAAAAAAAAGAATTATTTTAGTATTGTATGGTTTACATAGTAAGAAAAAAATATATTGTACATGTAATATTTAATGATAAAATTCATCAATTATATGTCACTTAAATATTTTTAATTATTTAAACAATATTATTTAAATAATAAAAATATATTTAGAATTATATATTTCAATTATATGCTACAGCACGGAGATGTATTTTTATTACGTATTATTTTTTTATATGTATAAATTTGTTGGCACATTGTTGACAATATTGGATCTATGAGATTCAGATGTAAATATATATAAAAAAAATGAAACTATTTTATATTTAATATGAAACACATTTAGAATTGTTCTGATTTAACGTATGTCAAATTTATTTTACCGAACTTCATAGCAAGCAAAGTATCAAAAAATATTGATCAAATAAAAATAAACAGATTCCTGTAAATGGCACTAACAAAAAATATATTTATTATAATAAAAAAATTGATAGTACTTGCATTAATATAATAATATAACGATATTAATTTCATATTAATTTTCAAAATTACAATCATATACTTTTTAATATTTTTTAACATTTTAAATATTTTTATCATATATATAGTATATATGGAAAATTGACTATATATATGAAACAAAAAAAATAACGAGAAAAGTAAAGAAATTTCAATATTTTACACGCGCAGTGTATATATAATACATTTTGACTGTTTTTTTTTGCTATATTATTGTAAAATTAGTAGAGTACATTGGACTAGTTTACGAAAATATATCACGTCTCTTTATAGACTATAATAATTATCACGAAAAGTTATCAGTCTTAATATATAGCAAATTTTTTTTTCTAAAAATTAAACGCCACACATTGAGCCTTAATTTTCACGTCAATAATATATTGTTGTAATTGATCAATTTAATTGCTAGTGAAGCTTCAAAATCATGAAAGAATTCATTTGTATATTAATATATTTTTGAAATATATGTATGTATATCAATTTGGATAGCAATTTAATGATATATAGAAGTCATATATATCAATATTAAATTTGATATCAAGTCATAAGCAGAATAGATTTCAAAATTTGGTAAACAAAAATAGGAAGAATTTATGAACGGAGTTTAAGATAATTTGAGAAGAGACGGAGGAGAATATTGCAATAGAGTGGGAGAATATTGTTTCCTCACTTGATTTCTGCGAAAAGCCTGAGGATTTGGTGCGTATCCTATTGTTCCCTGCATTTTCATTGTGCGTAAGATTTCAGGATCTATTGATGGAGTTCTCCTATGAAAGAATGAAAATCAAATTACCTGTTTCTTGGTTGTACAAAAATGGAAAGACCTATCATAGGAGAGACCTACCTATAAACTTTTTTCAAGTATTCTTCAGGCCAATCACTTAGAAGTGGTTGATCTGAATATACCATTGGTATTGTACTATACGGCGTAATATCGTCATCAAAAGGAATCGATGGTATTGTCTCAATTGGATCGGCAAATTCCGTAGGCCTAAGCAAAATAAAAATATACATATACTTAGATCTTATTCTTTATTATCTTTGTATTCATCTTCTAACTGTTCTTGATTTTATATACGTAATATAAATTATTTGTCAATAGATTTTAGTATATTGTGTCAATTATTTCAGTATATAAAAATTATATAATTCGTATTAATTTTAAAATTGATTAAAATAATTACTGACCTAGAAAATGTATTAAATTGAGGTTCCGGGGTGTTGGTGGACATTAAATGTATAGAGCCTGCCAAATCTCCAAAGCAAAGACATTGAGATGTAGGTGCTACATCAAATGATAATATCGTCGCACCGCCAGTAGCAACCTAATAATATACAATATAATTTCTGTATATAATCTCTGTATGTATATACTATTTTAAAAAATTTCTACTTTAAATTTTTTGCTTAAATTGTGAACACGTGTAAATTTACCTGATATAAACACGTCACTGAAGGTTGTACATTAGCATATATTGTATCAAGTAGTTGCATTTGTCCTAGCGGCGATACCACTGCAAGCCGACTGGAATAACTTGGTAGGAACTTTAATAAAAGAGGATATACCATAGTTGTGACTGGACTTAATGCTCTCATTTGTCTCAAATCATAGGCCATTAAAAATCGATCAACAGTAAGACCCTGACGACTAAATATAATCCATAAATATTTATAACATATGTGTGTTAAGTATATAAGATGGCTAAAAACTTTTTGATTATCTTATGCCTCACCAGTTACTAAATCCACATGTAACAAGATAATTTCCTTGAACATCGAAATCACTTAAGGAACCACTGTGAGTATCCAAAGTATGTTCTATTGATAATGTATTTGGATCCCTGAGATCTATTCTTCCCGCAGGATTTCCAGCACATATAAGCCTACTATGTTGTCTCAATATCGCACAACCATTCTCATCTACATCCACCTACAAATATAATATAAGCCTTAATTTTTTTTTCATTTCTGATTAACTTGTGATTCAGCTTAATCTGATGTTTCATTCAATGGGCTTCATTCATGACATCACCATAGATGAACCCCATTGGATAAAATATCAGGTTAAGTTTAACTACAAGTCAATCAGAAAATGAAAATTCAGGCCATCGCATCTCGTACTCGGAATTAATGTAACATTTAGTTTAGTTGATAGATTCTTACTAATCCAGTCTCTTTTCCTCTAGCAAGGTTAAAATCAATTATTTTATCCTGATGTCCACCCATGAGTAATCTGGCTGGGGAAATTTGTAACATACATTGCATATCGTTCATATTCATCGACCTATAACAATCTAGATTTGCTCAAATCCGTGGATAATAATGTTAGTACAAAATATGAACATACGTATGAGTAAATATAGGTATGCCTCTCCGCAATTGGCATCTCAACTGACTTTGAGACAACACTAAGATACCCTCATCTACAGTATGAATTTGTCGTATCTCCTGCGTTGCATGGACTTGAAAAGAGGTATATTTTTGTAAACCAGGCCCATAGTAGGATGTTACGTGACCCTACAACAAATTAGTATTAAAAATGCGACAATGTGATATAAAAGGCTAATAAGAGTCAAAAGACATAAAAAGTTTTTATTATTCATTTAACACGAGTATAATTACAACTAAATATAAAAAAAAAGAAATTATAAAAACCGCAGAAAGTAAGAGTATGAAAACGTTACAGAATACAATACAAAATACAATACATGTTTCGATTATATTAGGGTATATAATAGGTCCTTATATTTAGGTCCTCTTCAGCTGTACAATTTTCAGCTGTACATTCAGGCGCAGTAAAATTAATATTAAAAGAAAAAGAAAGCGACGGTTTTATTGCATAGTTAGATAAGTGTTAAGTCAGAGAAATGAAAAATTGCTCGTCAAGCGATTGAATGACCGATTGCGAAAGATTTCTCGTTGTTCTAGTGAAAACACAAAGAAACATGTTATAAGTTATCAAAATTAAATTAAAACAAGCACAATACGCTTCTCTGGTAAAAAAAAATTCACCTCGGAGTCCGACAATTGAAAAAATCCATGTTAATATTGAAATAATCGTCAATAATATGTCAAAAGAGGTACAAAATTAGTATCACAATTATAAGTATATAACGTCTAATGTATAAAATAAAATAAAGAAAACCATATAACGCTCTAGAATCAACAGCACTGTGAAAAATCTTAGCAATGCAAAGTCAAATATTGTTTATAATTGAAATATATGATTTATGAAGACCTTTTGCATTTATCTGGAGATTAAAACTGTCGCTATTTTTTAATGTTAAGCATCTCTGAGACCAGATGTTTATTATAAATCGGTTCTTCGTCCAAGATTTGAATGTTATTCCAATCAAATTATATTAAATTATAATAAATATTGATATAATAATGAATAAAAAATTTGGTATAAATAGTATCAATAACATACCCCTTGATTTCCCATCCACATAAGTTCTTCAATCGTGTCGAAAGTGGCAGTGGAAACTCCAAATCTATCCCCGCCATCGGCGAGCAATGTTCTAGTTTCGTGAAACTCAGCTCCGGAAAAGTCCTCTCCAAACTGCTCCGTTGCACGTACATATTCACCTCCAGATACGACATAATTACAATCGTCCCCTGAAATGAGAATCGATTAGTCGAGATTCAAGTATACTTTTCTTTTACACACATAATCCTAAAAGCAGAAAGATATTCCTTTCTTGCTAATTCAAACGCTTTAGCAAAATTTTCGTTTTATTTGCAATTTATTTGACATAAATAATTAAATATAAACAAAATATAAAATAATAGTTTATGTTTTTGTAAATTATATCTTTATCAAAATGCGATAAAGTTATCTATACAGTTTCTAAATATAAGCCGCGCAAATATAATGATAAAAATAAAATACAAAATACACTGTTATGCTTTTCAAGAGATCATAATTTATTGTTGAATATACAAATATCCAAAATAATTTTTTTACTGAAGTAGAGATTATATTTACTCACACATTTGCTACAACAATGATGTACTCTAAAAAACAAAGAAAACTTTCTAAAAAATAAGTTTGAATGTTTTGAATCAATAAAATTTTGTAATATTAATGTAAAAGAGCAATTTTGATATAATAACTCTAATTGTAGAAAAATAAAAGTATGTTTTTTTTTTCTTTATATTCTTTATTCTTTTTCTGCAAGATAATAAAAAATAACCATTTTGTAATTATGTCGTTACTGCAGCAAACGAGGTACATACAAGGTAGAAACCAAAGTATAACAATCGATTTTCAAGAAGAAAACATTTGGTCATTACTGCTTCAACGATTTTTCTTAATCACTGTATTAAGCTTGGAAATAACAAAGGACGATCTTGGCCGCGCTCCTGCGTGTTGGAGAAACAGCTGATGCCAGCTGATATTCTACAATCGGCCGGATCGGCGGTGTTCCGCGCGTAAACGTTCGAAAGCAAACGAACGTCATGGAAAGTAGAAACAGACGCGATACGAGAAACTGATAAAGATAAAAAAAAAAGCGCAGGTAGAATGAATACATGCGACAGAGAAATTCCGGTGCTGCTCCACCGAAAGCGGCTCTCCCGCGCTTCTTGGCCGCGCGAAAGAAGCGCGCGCGTGACGCGACAAACAGGGCTACTTACAAAGTAGATCTTGTTCCTCCTCGCAGTTGACGTGGTCCGTAGGTTCTACCGAGGGATCGAAGAGATCCAACACCGGATAGTCCATGATGCGCGCGGTGGCTTACTTCAGACTACGTCGTTGCGTGGCATTGGAACGATGTGAAATTGACACGAGAACTGCGTTCCAATATTCCCAATAATGATTGGTCTCTTATCATAATACACCGCAGGTATACGCGGCGCACACAGTCACACACTCGCGCAATCACGCACGCACGCACGGCGGAACAGACGACAAACACACCAACACGCACGTTAGTCGTCCTGGCAACTGTGCAGCAAGCGAAACACTTTGTGCATTACTATGCCATCGTGAGCCGCTGGATTGAAAAACTCAACGATAGACAAGCGCATCATAACACGTTTTTCTCGACTGTATTTCTTTGCTATCCGTTCACCGAGAAAACTGTGCTTTTCGCCGTTTGTTGAGATGCGATTTAATTCATAATCGCATATTCACGGTGTTCAGACTTCGCGAGCAAATACAGATAGACAGAAACCTGAGCACAATAAGCACTAAACAATGAACCAGAGCGGAATGAGCTAACACTGAAAGTGATTATGCCGGTTTTTATCCTGTAACCGCAGGCGCAAAATGCCGCCATACATTAGCGCCAACTGAGAAAGTGGATATCAACTGCATAGCAACATCCATTTTTCTACACTACGGGTATACAATTTGTAATACGTGTCTGCATCGACATGTGACAATTTATTAAAGAAGAATTTTATCGCGAAAACGTGTGACTTATTAATACCTACGTACTTAAAGGCATTTAATATTTTACAGTAAACCGTTGTGTCGAGCACTATTACGGTGCATCCAAATTTATTTCTCCGACTGTTTCAATAAACTAGAGCAAAATGGAATTATTGAACATCTACAAGGTAATAATAATTTTATAATTAAGATAATAATAAGCTTTTAAAGTGTATTTGACTTACGTTTTTGTTTTAAATATTCACAATTCTTTGACTGCTAAAAAGCGTAATTGCTAAAATCGCATTTCTCATAAGATTTCTCATAAGTATGTAATAAATGCTACAAGCGCGATAGCGTAGATAAAATTGTTGAAAGTGAGAACAATTTTTGTAAGTGAGAAATTGGGCAATAATTGCGTGCTACAAATATTGTAACGCCTATTGACATACAATTAAGTCTAATAAGTTTTCGGTACATCAAATTGTAAGAAACGTTCTAAATTGTGACTTATTGAAATAATTGTTTGATTTGTATATCAATAATAGTTTTAATTACATGCTTATTGCACGTAATTATTGTCTAATTTCGCTCTTTTATTATATTTCTCTAACAATTTTATCAATGTGATTAAAAAACAATCTATACTTAAAAAGTTCAATATTCATTTTAATTTTATCACTCTAATTTATAATTTAACGAAATTATCATATTTAAAGTGTGTGAAAGACAAAGAGATAGTATAGGAGAAAAGTAAGAAGAAATGTGTTTTTGTAAATGCGATCCAGTCAGTATGCGTCCTGCGCGTAAAGCGCTCGCGTCTAACTGTGAGCGTCGCTATAAAA